TATATATATATATATATATATATATATATTAAAACATGAATTTAATATAATAAGATTTATTCATTCATGCTTCATTTTCAACCTGTGGGGCCTGCCCCCCACCTGTCAAGGGGGCGCCAGCATCAGTTAATTCAGAGACGTTCCCTTGAGAATTGATGAATACCAGTTAACAAATCTTTACAAATCCAACCACGGATTGGCATGTTGTTATCTCAGAACCAGGCTCAGCCATCACATTGAATCAGGTAAACTGGTTATATATTTATGTTTCAGTATATTTACGCACGCTATACCAGGGGCGATTCTAAACCCTTTTTAAGGTGGGTTTCAGCCCCACTATCTGTCACCTTAGCCCCCCAAAACAATCGTAACGATCAGGCCAGTGCTGCTTCCTCGAGAAAGTTTTTCATTCTCGCGTGTTTTAAGTCTTGTCAGTTTAAACATTAAAGTAATTTTAAGCCATTTAAGCCCAAGACATCTCAATGCGGTACTCACGTACTGTGATAGAGCGTTTCTATGCGCACCGCTCACTCACCTGAAGTGCACAAACAGATAGCCTTCTCAGACAGCAGGTGAATACCAATGGCTGTCTTGACAAGTATCCTTGTAAGCACAGTCGGTTGTTTTAAGTGAATGTAAACAGTGAAGAAAATATAAAATGTACATCAGTATAACGGATCCGTGCATTTCTTATGTAAATAATGTTAATCAAAAAGAGCAAAAGAAAAATTGTTTGCTGCTTTAATAGCTCTAATGAATATTTGCTTTTATGTTAATGTGTGTGGGGGGTTGTTGGATGTTGGGGGGGGCGCATGTCCTAAATGGTTGAAAACCCCTGCTCTAATACTTGGTTTTAATAATCCAAATCTGTCAAAAATATGCAGTAATTTGTTAAAATATTTAAATTTTATATTTAAATTCATGCATTTGGCAGAAGCTTTTATCCAAAGTGTCGTACAATGAATTCAAGCTATAATCTTTTTTCATTATGCATGATCCCTGGGAATCAACCCATGACCTTGGTGTTGCTCTACCACTTAAACGGCAAGAACAGACATGTTGAAAATTGTCAAATGGAATATTTCAATATCCAGCACTACGTGATGCCCTATAATGAGAAAACGAGCCAAATTAACCATACACTATAATGTCTATGCTTCTTAAGTATAGCAGTACTCATATGTCAAAGACAACAAAGCACTGGCTCAAACCCCATCTAATGATTCTTTTGTGCATCTGATCCCTCATCCTCTAATTCACTCCTCCGAGAAGAGCACAAGAGAAGGAGAGAGAGCATGACTGTGTATGAAAGAGAAAGTGAGGGAAAGTGAGAGGCATTGCAGAGGGATGAGGTCATGTATTTAGCTTGATTGCACAGAGGGCAGCAAAGTCAGCAGAGTCTCTCTGCTAATGGCTTACGTAAGAGCAACGTTTCCAGAAGGTTTCCATAACGTTGACGCTCTAATGTCTTCAGAAGAGATGAGGGGAACACATCTAACTACACCACATAATATTTGGCCTCTCCAGAGATGTCAGCTCACCAAAACAGACCACACCCTCATCATACCATGTGATCTGCACAATCAGCGTCTATGCAAAAGTCACGACTTTCCTTGATGGCTTTAAAGTGGACGAATTAAAATAAAGAGCTGATTGTGTCGGCCCGAATTATTTCAGAAGCTCAATAAAGGGCTTTTTAACACCCTACAAGAGCAATGACTGCATCTCTAAAGGTCAGGCAGAGTTAAATCTGTTTAGTATGATTTAGACAAGGGTTAATCTGTAATCTGCCTGAGAAATAGGCAGCCACACGTGTCCTCAGTGCGAGATTAAGCACTAGTTCTTCGCAAACCTTGTCTTTTCTATGCTCATCTCAAAACTATCTGCATTTTGAACACTTTTTCTTTCCTTCAGGTTAGACACTCTACGAGTGTAGTGTCCCCGGACAGAACACCGTGTCCTCCTAGACTGTGTGAATGTACACGTATGCTAGCTTACCCAGACCAAGCAGGGAATGATGCTCCACTAGCGACCAGCAGTTGTCATCCAGGCAGTGGTTCTTGTAGACCAGGAACTGACACACATCTCTGGCCATCATGTCGGCGGGGACTTCCACAACTTTTCCCACACCATCCTCGCTGAAAACCTTGATGATCTGTTGAAGACACACACAGAATGTCAATAAATATGACCTCAAGGCGATGTTCTCAATGAGTCTAATTTGTCGAACAATTACAGACACACTTTAGCACAATGCTCCAGACTCGACAACTTAGCCTTGTAATGGTCCTGTGTGAACCATCTAAACTAAACATACGTGATTCAAATACAAACTTTTCAGTTAGCGAAGAATACAAATTATGCTTGATGAAAAATTTTCACTTCTTGTTCAAGTTTTTGTTGTTGCAAACCATGCATATCTCTGTGTATGTGGTCCTTAGCTCAATGGAGCTCATAAGCATGACTGACTTGAACACGCACGCACAAGAGGATATACTCCAATAAGAGGCAGCATTCACGTGAACGCCAAAGCCAACGGCCCAGACAAAGAGAAAGGAACAGAAAAGGGAGAAATGCTTCCAATGAACGTGCGCACAAAACAAGAAATGATTTAAATGCATTTACATGTGCAAGTGCACAACTAGATATACGCATTCATGCACAAAAGCAAACATTTGCAACTATGATTATTATAGACACTTTTTTTTTACAAACTAAAAGCACAGAGGCAGGGAACAGTAGCGTGCAATTTATGCACAAAGATGATCTGCATGACTCAATTTTAAATGTTTTTAGACCAGCATCTGCAAGATGTGTATGGTTTTCTTAGAGAAAGTAGTTGCTATCAGTCTTACCTGTACAGCCTGATATAAGCAACAGTCCGGCGAACACGATGGCATTTTCACTCTGAGACAACCTCTGCTTACTCACGCGGCGAGAGCAAACGAGTGAGTGAGTTAGAGAGAGAGGGAGAGAGAGAGAGAGAGAAAGAGGGAGGGCAAGGGGAGGAGGAAAGAAAGCGAGAGGATGAGAGGAGTTGAGAATGGGCAGAGGGTTGAGATGAGACCAAGAGTTGCTGAAACGAGAGGGAGAGAGAGAGAGAGAAGAAGGGAGAGAGACTCAGCTGACAAGCAGCTTGTGTCTTACAATACTCTAGTGGATTAAGCTGCGAGAAAAAGACGGAGAGAGATGACTACGTTTTCAATTTGTCAATAAAATTCATATAATGGGTATCCCTTATTTAGTCATTCCAAACATAACTTTTTTTCTTCCATGGAACAAAAGAGATTACATGGGAGAGGACAGACTCAACAAAGAAAACGAATTGGGAATTGCTGTCAAATCTTATTCAAATATAGCTGACGTCAATGATGGCAAACATCATAGATAATGTGTAAAATATTAATATATATATATATAAACATTACATTTAGTAATAAAATAAAATATATTACAGGTGTTTACCTTAAGACCTTTAGTATTTGAAAACACATATATAAGCTAATGTTGATTGTTACATTATGTGTTTTGATTTGTTTAAAAAAAACACAATGTAATAATCAACATTAGCCAACAATCAAGCATTTAAATGGGTGTAATAATTTTACTTTGTTTATTTTAGTTTTTAAAGTGCAATAAAAGCATATACTTTGTATTGGAATAATACATTAAATTAAAATTGTAAAGTAAAATAAATAAATAAATGGTTCATAATTCATGTTGATTTTAGTTTTTAAAGTGCAATAAAAGCATATACTTTGTATTGGAATAATACATTAAATTAAAATTGTAAAGTAAAATAAATAAATAAATGGTTCATAATTCATGTTGATTTTAGTTTTTAAAGTGCAATAAAAGCATATACTTTGTATTGGAATAATACATTAAATTAAAATTGTAAAGTAAAATAAATAAATGGTTAATAATTCATGTTGATTTTAGTTTTTAAAGTGCAATAAAAGCATATACTTTGTATTGGAATAATACATTAAATGAAAATTGTAAAATAAAATAAATAAATAAATGGTTCATAATTCATGTTGATTTCATTACATTTGTGCACATTTTATTTTCTGTCATTTTATTATAATATAGACTTTTTTATAGAAACACATTACAAACCATTAATAACGATTCTTCCTCTATATACCCCCTTCCATCTCGTTCTCTCTCTCTTCCATCAACTCTCCTTTTGTCTCTCCCTCTCTCTTTTCCACAACCTTACTCTCTCTTTCTCCCCCACATCAAACTTTGCCTTGGCTTCTGTCAAAGTTTCAAATTCTTTCTGGAAAGCCCTGAGACAGAGCCCCACATCCAGATCTTGACACACACACACACACACAGAGTCAGACCCCCCCCCCTGCCCGAAGTTTGGCTTTGAACTCCACAGCCAAAGAAAACCGCTCCCTCTCTTTTTCTCAAAACTCAGCGTATCACAACTGGAGAGTGTTTCTTAAAAACACACAACAGAGGCCAAATCCCAGCAAAATCCCTCCTCCCACAACACTTCCCCAGTAAAACTAGTGATTTTCTTTCTCATACTCAACATTCTCAACACTTTACCATTTCTCACTGTTTGAAGATGTACGTACACCTTCAGTTTAAGTTTGGTAAAGAATAACTAAACAAATTCAAAAACATACCATTCAGTCCTCTCAGACAGGAGACAACAGTATCATGTAATCTGACTCGACACCATGAAGAAAAGGATGTTGGGGGTTGAGTTATTGGCAAAACCAGTATAGCGGTGGAAACTGTTTGCACAGCATTGTTTCATGGCTTATTCTTTGTTATGCATGTAGCATTCTACTGCTGCAAATGCTATTTTCTACAAGCTTTACGACGTAAGAGCGTTTACCCAATGTTGTTCAAATGCATCCTCACAATCATGTGGCTACGAGCAAACATTTGCTCTGCACTGCTCCGTCCCGCCTCTGCGGGTCACATGGGAGGATCTTTAAATGTTAAATAAAGGTTTTGCAAACATTGAGGGTCATATGGCAACAAAGTATTTGTTGGGAGTTAATAGAGGGTTGTTCAAGCATTGTTCGCAGTTTGTATAAAGAGGGAAGAGGTAATCCAGAAATAGAACAGAGGTCACAGTATATGGCCAATACTTTTGATACATTAGGTTCTGTGATTATATATGCACAGATATAGAGCTTATTTATATAAACAGGAATACAGTTAGATATATAGTTAAATAGATACAGTTGGATGGTTAGACAGACAGGTACACAGTAAGTTAGGAATATATATACCGTATATACAGTTAGAAAGGTGTATAATTAGTTAAAAAGGTGTATAGCTGGACAGTTATAAGGTCTAAGGGTTACTAGAAAGCTACAAGCAGGTGAGTTTTAATCAAGGTTGGAGCAAAACTCTGCAGGACTGTGGCTCTCCTGGACCGACGTTGACCACCCTTGATATCGATAGATAGCAAGAGAGACAGACAGAAAGATAGACAGACAAAGAGAGATAGGAAGACAGATAGATAGTAAAACATATAGAGAGTAAGACAGACTGACAGATAGATAGTGAGAGACAAATAGAGATAGTGAGACAGAAAGACAGACGGCTAGTAAGACAGACAAAGAGAGATAGTAAAACAGAAAGACAAACAGATAGTAAGACAGACAAATAGAGAGAGACATACAGATAGTTAGTAAGACAGACAGACATAGACAAGAGGTGATCGGGTTGATATAGTCATTTCAAGAGTTATGACTGGCTTTACTCAGCCTTTCTGTAAATGAGCGTGCGAGTGAGTGCAATGCTATACTGTGTCATAATTAAACTCAGGTGCATCTAAAAACTGCCCTGGGATTTGTGTGTGTGTGTGTGTGTGCAAGTACAGACCATACTCACAAGCACACCGATGCATATAAGCATACATGAGCATATGTGGGTGAGAAACCATTAAACTGACTGGCCGCAGCGCACAAACACACTTATGCCAAAGACTATAGAATACCCAAGACGTGTCACTTGTATAGTTTTGCATGGGGAAAAATGCAACGCTCAATATGGCCGCTCTATCGAAGGAAGCTCGGTCTTCTGAATAAAAGAGCCAATCACTAATAGGTAAAGTCATCATGTCACTGCAGTTGCCGTTAGAAGCTCCAGTTGCTATAGAAACAGCATTCTGAGATGCACGCTTAGGACTGCGTATGCGCACTGGCTTGTCTAGTCTGAAAAATAAGCTTTTTAACGCTATTTGAGCAAAAGAAACAACATTTATGAGACAGTTGTTGTCGGATTTCATTGGTGATTTCAAATATGAAATTTAATTGTAAGGTTGGCAAACAGTTTTGGAGAATTTGATGTTTCCCCATTCAAAGAGATAGGAGCTGCACTTGCATGCCCAAGAGGCATTTCAAAGATGCCTGCTAAGTGAAATGACTTGCCTTAAAGGGACTTTGCTTATGCAAGACTGACCCCCACAGCGGAAGATCAAAGACATCAGAAACAAGAAGCTATCACAGATGAATAAGAGACTGAATAACCGAAAATCTAACTTAAACAGCCATCCATTTAAATGGAAATAATGTTTTAAGTATTGTACAACTTAGCATGATAAAACCCTGTCTAAGCTAGTGTAAATTAGATAAGTGCATAAGACTATGAGAAACCTGTGGCTCTCTGGAAATAAGGCCCTGTGAGTTCATTTGTAAACAGTCCTGTGTGCTGCGATCACTCACCTCACTCTTATTACCTAACTAGACAGTGCAAATTCGATTTTAACCCCACACAGGCCTGGCGCACATGCATGTACACTCGAACTCATGCATTATTATTACCATCTGCAGTTTACTGAACTCTACGTGACCCTGCCTTCAGTGACATCACAAACATACTGTAAAAATCCACATTCACACTCACAGGCAAAAAACTTGCCCTGACATACATACACACACACGCCTTTGTTTAGAGATCTCAGGGGATAAACGTCAGTGACAGCTTTGGAAGTTTCAGGTTTCACGGAGAGGAGCCAGTCTGTGTGTGAGATACAGAGAGAGAGACATGTTTGTGCAACCCGACGTGTTTCACAGTTTATCAGCAAGTGGAAACAAACCCAGAATGAATAAAGGATATAAACAGAGATGAACGGGATACATATGACACATGATGACATATGCATATCAAAAAGTAGAG